TTGAACAACACGTGGATGCTTTGGAATAGAAAGAATAGCACCACATATCCCTAATTCGTGCTTTCGGACATATACATCTTTTAGCTTTTGGCACCTCCTCCTTTTTAGTTGGAGTACTCTTTGATTGTTGAACGAAAACTTGACTCCCTGCCATTTGACTAGTAAGAGTAGGGCGGAAACATTTCTTGTGGCCAGTAACACTACATAGCCAGTCACATCTCTGACTAATGATTGCTCAATCCTTTAATGAATATCGTTATATTTCTATCGACTACCTCGACCATTTACTTCTTTAGTATTCCTACTGAAGTTTCGTCACTATACAAGACATGGTTCTCTGAACCAATCAACTCCTTTCGCGGATTTATACTAATCGGACTCGATTCTTTATGACATTAAGATTTGAACGATACTTATTTCCTTAGTCATTACCGAAACGAAGGTAACGACACACATGAATAAAATGGAATCATTTACTAGCTTCTTGGTAACCTTGTGACTTTTCCTGATCCAAGTGTGAGTCCTGTGCTTCCAGTAGTATAGGCCTCTACTACTATTCACACCTACTCATACTCGTCCCAAGTATTGTCTCGCAGTTCCCAAGTCACCATTCAAAAGTTTTCACAAAGCAAATTTTCACACTTAAGTGCGTTCAAACAAGTACATACAACAATTTCTCCTAGACTCAACTAGGGTTTTCGCGTTTCTATCAAACATATATTGGATTACTTATACTCGCCTTCTAAAATTCTTCTCATGCATATGCTCGATTTAATATATCCTAATACTTTTCCATAGGTCGATAGAAATTTTACTTCCATTTCTTCATATAAATTCTTTCTCGGGTAGTGTCTACTCTGCAAGACATACTACACCCAAAATTTCCTCTAGCAGTGTAAAGACAAATAGTTTCCAACTACTTACATCATCTTCTAACTCATGCAAACCATCATGCATATTTGTTGGTTTCATTATCCTTTCATGGCATCGTCATTCCTGTATCTGAGTAAGTCTTCTTCTCATGGTTGTATCTTTTAAGTCTACTTCATAGGAGTCTATCCTAAGAAGTCTGCATTATAGTTGCATCTCAGCAAGCTCTACTAGCTTCAACTTGGTTCTCTATCATTCCTAATTACAACATTTCTTCTCATACAATAATATGAGTGTATTCTTCTTCAACTAAATACGCTATCTTACTCTAACAAGTAAGTCACTCAGCCTTTTCACAAACAAATAACCTATTTCACTATCCCAATCTTGTATGTTAAAGTCGGCTTAACACACAATGGAACTTCCATAAGGATGTGATAGAAGTCAATCATCACTCAGTATTATTAAATACTAAGTCTGAGCATCTTGTATAAGGTTACTACTCGAACTACATACTTCATCACAAAGTCTTGGCCTAATAAGTCTAAAAACTTCATTAGCCTTTCCTTTGATCTTCATTTAATTCTTCTAAATCTTAGACTACATTAATTTCAATACTGTTGAAGTATTTATCACCATCCTCGGTTCTTCCGACTCTATAAACTATCACTGCTTTAATCTGGACAGCGGTGGAACAACTTCATCGGTTATGCCAAAACATTTATCTCATCTAAATGTATTTTAAACGCACATCTTTCTTCCAAAGATGTTATTATATTATCTTACATATTTTAAATGTATAATACCACTCTATTGGTATTAATACACTATTTACGATTTCACTTCATATTTATTATTTTACGATTTTCCGCAATCGTTTATTTATAAACTTATCGATATCAACTATCATAAGTATCTTTATTACTTCGAAAAGTTTCATGTAAATTCTATTACGAAAATTTTTAAAATTTTGAACATAAAATTTTCTAAACCAAGGTCGGCAACAGACCTTAAACTTTCTCAAATAATAGCAATATAGGTATGAAACCTAAAGCATGCTATATTTACTTATCATTTAGCACATATTAGAATATAAGACATATCTCCTCTTAATATTCTAGTGCTTACCCCATTAGGTATTCAACCTAAAATATATCAGATACATATTGTATCATCTTCACTTAACAATTCATGTTTAAATCTAGAAATTCTCAAAATTCCTAGTTCATATATATTAATTCTCTAAAAGTTTTGAAGTAGCTTAATGTCTTAGAATACTAGGGTTTATCACTACCCAATACTCCACTTAAGTGTTTCCTATGGTTTGTATCCAAATATTTACAATGATTCAGTTCATATATTGAACTTCCAATAGTTTAAGTCTAAATACCAATCCGTGGTATTTAGTTCACTTAAACCACTGCTCTGATACCATGATTGAAAGAACCCCTTTCTATACTTTCATATTTCTGAAAGACCCAAACTTTCATACTTGACAATATAGTTACTCCAAAACATGCTACATGCATATTCATAAAACAATATTTTTACATTGATAAAGTCATTACAAAAGATTGGTTACAAACCGACTATGTTTTGAGATTTTACATGACTACCCAGGATATTGTAAATCTATACAAACCTAAACCAAAATACAAATATAATATTACAACTATTCTAAGTCTTCCAACTATACTGGGTGCTTATTGCCTGCATTATGTTAAAACATTGGGAGGGGTAAGCGATAACGCTTAGTGAGTTCAATAATAGATACAATATAACGTTATGCCATATATATACCAATATGGCAGAAGCAAATAGGAGCAAGGAACAACAAAGACATAATGTGATAAGCTTTCCCTAACAATCATTGATTTGATTTAAATATATACCATCATTTAGACATAACAATTTCCATACTTGATAAACATCAATAACGCTTCGGCCCAAATGGCACTGAATACAAACAATTTCTGATTAACATTAATGTAGATTTCAGGTTTTCACGCCCTGTCTAACCATATGCCAATGCCATAGAATAGAGTCATTCACTTACCGGGGGACATGCTCTACCTGGCCAGAGGCTACATACCAGTGCCACTGTGAATCTGAGTTCGTAAACTGATCACATGGTCAAAGGTATAGCTTTGCTATCATAAATAGCAGAAATAAAAATAACACGGGAAAATACTCAGGAATAACATTCTACCGAAGCCAAAGTGATGCCTATGTCATACACTTCATGGTCAACGGTTCATACCAATACCCAAGTGATGCCTATGTCATACACTTCAAGTCAGAGGTACAGCCTTGCTATAAAAATAGCGGATACAACAACTCGAGATGATAACATGGAAATGCACATAGCACATATAACACATAACATACAATTGTTTCTACATATTAAACTCACCGAGAAATAACCGGGGGTCAAAATAGTAATTTGGGCAGCACTTCGGCTTTAAATATGACTTTCGTCGTTGAAAACCGGGAGTTTTCTTGAAAACCGGGCCTTGCGAAGGTAGAGCTTCGAAACCGAAAAGATAAATTTTTTTGGGCTTCTCGGGAATCTCGGGGCGCGTTTCGGGCTTTGGAATAAGTACCGGGGCTTCGGGGGATGTCGGGATAGTAAAAGTATTGAAAAATGGTGAAAAAGTGTGAAATTTCCAAAGTTAGCCGAGAGGGTTCGCACCTCGTCGAAATCACTCATAATTTATGAGTGATTTCGACGAGGTGCGACGAGGTGCGAACCCTCTCGGCTAACTTTGGAAATTTCATACTTTTTCACCATTTTTCAATACTTTTACTATCCCGACATCCCCCGAAGCCCCGGTACTTATTCCAAAGCCCGAAACGTGCCCCGAGATTCCCGAGAAGCCCGAAAAAATTTATCTTTTCGGTTTCGAAGCTCTACCTTCGCAAGGCCCGGTTTTCAAGAAAACTCCCGGTTTTCAACGACGAAAGTCATATTTAAAGCCGAAGTGCTGCCCAAATTACTATTTTGACCCCCGGTTATTTCTCGGTGAGTTTAATATGTAGAAACAATTGTATGTTATGTGTTATATGTGCTATGTGCATTTCCATGTTATCATCTCGAGTTGTTGTATCCGCTATTTTTATAGCAAGGCTGTACCTCTGACTTGAAGTGTATGACATAGGCATCACTTGGGTATTGGTATGAACCGTTGACCATGAAGTATATGACATAGACATCACTTTGGCTTCGGTAGAATGTTATTCCTGAGTATTTTCCCGTGTTATTTTTATTTCTGCTATTTATGATAGCAAAGCTATACCTTTGACCATGTGATCAGTTTACGAACTCAGATTCACAGTGGCACTGGTATGTAGCCTCTGGCCAGGTAGAGCATGTCCCCCAGTAAGTGAATGACTCTATTCTATGGCATTGGCATATGGTTAGACAGGGCGTGAAAACCTGAAATCTACATTAATGTTAATCAGAAATTGTTTGTCTTCAGTGCCATTTGGGCCGAAGCGTTATTGATGTTTATCAAGTATGGAAATTGTTATGTCTAAATGATGGTATATATTTAAATCAAATCAATGATTGTTAGGGAAAGCTTATCACATTATGTCTTTGTTGTTCCTTGCTCCTATTTGCTTCTGCCATATTGGTATATATATGGCATAACGTTATATTGTATCTATTATTGAACTCACTAAGCGTTATCGCTTACCCCTCCCAATGTTTTAACATAATGCAGACAATAAGCACCCAGTATAGTTGGAAGACTTAGAATAGTTGTAATATTATTTTTGTATTTTGGTTTAGGTTTGTATAGATTTACAATATCCTGAGTAGTCATGTAAAATCTCAAAACATAGTCGGTTTGTGTCCAATCTTTTGTAATGACTTTATCAATGTAAAAATATTGTTTTATGAATATGCATGTAGCATGTTTTGGAGTAACTATATTGTCAAGTATGAAAGTTTGGGTCTTTCAGAAATATGAAAGTATAGAAAGGGGTTCTTTCATTGAATCACATCCATTAATCCGAATCCTGACTGAATTCCTGGTCTGGTATCTAATTCTTGTCAAGATTTGGTTCGACATCTGTTTCTTGTCTGAAATTCTTTCAAGATCGCTGCATGGCCTGTTATTGATCGAATGTTTGTTGTTGTCCATGTGTTCTATGTTGTTCATTTTGGTAATATTTCCAACTGTTTGATTGTGCACATTAGTATCCACCATTGTTAAACAAAACAATAGAGACATGGGCAAGAAAGGATCCCCTGCATTTTCTGGACCTCAAATGTCAGTCACAATTAGAGAAGCTTCAACAGGGAAGAAACACACAAATGTCAAATCTTCATTAAAATTACAACATATAAAGAATCTTGCAATGTGGGCCACTCACGATGCATCCATACCTTCATTGGGTGCCTTTTTAGTCACCATTTTGCAGCTTCTTCAGAGGCTTTGGCAACACCAGTTGATCCATCCTTGTTTACTTGTCAAAGGTACTCTCTTTTTCTCTCTACACACACAATACTATTAAGGGCAATTTGCTCATATCTTGTGTTCTTGTGTAGATGTGAATCTATACTTCATCCTGGCTACAATTGTACAATTCGAATTGAAAAAAACAAGAAAAAAGCTCGACAAAAAGGCAAGAAATCTTGTCATTATCCTCAAAACAACATTATCTACACTTGTCATTTTTGTATGCACAAAAATATGAAAAGAGGCACTCCAAGAAACACAAATCCACCAAAGCCCAAACCAAACACTATACTAGCTCCACCGGGGTCTACCGACAAGGGTAAAATGGGTATTTTAGTAAAAAATGACTCTGATCCAGCAATTCCAACATTGACATTGTTGGAGTCCAAGAAGAAGAGGAATAGGTCAGGGGCTAAGAAGAAAGTGGCATATGATCCAAATGCAGAAAAATCAGGGAATGCATCTACTAATAGAAAAAGAAGAAAATCTTGGATTAGTTTGAAGGAGATTGCTGAAAGTAATGACAATGATAATCGCCACAAGTTGATGAACATAACAATCCCATTTTCGATGGAGTAAAGAGTTATTTATTTATTTATTTATTTATGTTTAGTTGATAATGATGTAGATATGTTGGTTAAAATTATAGAGTTTTTTTTGTTATAAACATTTGTTTCGAATTACTATTTGGTCCATGAGTTTGAATACAACTAAAATATAAGTGACTAAGAGCAAATTATGTCTTATGACATTAACCTTTTATTATAATTGAATAACATATTGTCACAATACACCAAGTTCAAGGTGTCATGAAAGATTAACACCAGAAGATACGTATACTTTTATTGATGCATACCATGTGTATTCCTATTTTGATTAGAGAGTGATGGTATTAGAGAACGACTCAAGTCTCACATTTAGATATAGATTGTATTGAATATTAATTGTTATCTATTCCTAAAATAGTGGCTGTATTTGATGGGTTTTATACAAACAATCCTATGTGTGCATGCAACCCTAGAGTTGGATCTATGTTTTCACTATTAGTTATACAACTTTATGAACACAAAAGAACCCTAGCATGCATCTACTATTTTCGAAATTGACATAGGAGAATAGAATACATACCTTTTGTTGTTATGTAGTAATAACAACTAGTTCCTTGAATTTCCTTAGCTCTTGAAAGCAAGTACCACAAGTGTAGTACCTCTAATGGCTCACAAACACACTAGGTGAAAGGATGAATATGGGAGAGAGGAGAGAAGGATATCTTGCCCTAAAATTCGTCCCTTTTAGGGTTTCCCAAGGCTTGGACGAATTCTAGTGCCTTAGGGTGCTATTTATACTTGAGGCTAGCTAGGGTTTCAAGGTGGAAACCCTAATCCCTTAGCTTAGGGCCTAAGCAAGTCCATGGACTCCTTTCCTTAAGCCCTTGGACGAAAACTCCTAGATCCTTCTAGGATTTTCGTTCAAGCCTTAATAAAAGTGATCTAATAGCCCAAAGTCTCAACTATCAAATAATTACAAAACAGCCCCTGTACTTTTAATTAATTCCTTTAATCCCGAAATTAATTCCTAATTAATTTCTGATTAAATACTAATTAATAATATGATTCCAAATTATTATATTAATCATATAATATAATAAATAAATCATATTTATGCCCTAATCAACCTCTCTCCTCAACTGTCATCCTGTCTAGTCACCAGTGTGAAGGCAACCCAAAAGGACCATGCTCACAATCGGGTCAAGTAAATACCAAAATAGTTATGGACTTAGACACTAATCCAACAGTCTCCCACTTGGATAAGTCTAATAACTATTCTGCGTATGACTTCAGAACCTGATCAGCAATCGTAGCTTCCAAAAGCGCTGTCAACTCTGATCTTATCAGATACGCGTGTCCTTTAGATAAGGGATCATATATTCCTCCATTCTACAAGATATCGTATAGACATGAGACATGGATTGAAATCATTCTCTCAGTCTATGTGTCGTTTCCCGATTTACGATTTATGACGACTGACTAATTGAACAAATCAAATCAGTCCTGGCCCGGCCGAGCACTTTCCTTTGTCATCACTAAATCATCGAGGGGCCCACAGATATCGCTTTTATCCCACCTTGGGTAAAAGGAATGGATAAACTTCGACTCAAATGCTTGCTTGCACCTACTAATCGAATCACACACAACAATAAGTTTTATAACACCAAGTTACTGGTACGTTTACTTATTGTCAATGTGCAACCGACCAGCAAATAACAACTCACACGTCTCGGTTTCAAGAATATACAATGTTATCGTCTCACCAATCACTCGTGATAAAACCATGAAGTGATTCAAATGAGCGTGGGTTTAATCCAATACTCTAATCTTATCAAAGCACTCATGAACTCTGCAGCAAACTTGTGCTATGTCTAAACACTTTAGACAATCTACAGACAGATTCATGACAGTCTTCCTTCATACCTACTTCCAACGTATGACCGACTGTGGATGTTTGAATAACCTAGTTATTCTGGAAGTCAAAACATGCAAAGTGAAACGCAATAATAATATTAATCCTATATGGCCCCAAAACTTTTGAGCGTAAATAAAAACACTTTTATTTAAACACCATATTGATTACTCATTATTCATTGTTTACTGTTTCAGACAATCAACTTATTACTCGAATTATAACCACAATTGTCCCATGCTCCAAGCATGCACACTTTGGTTTCCTATGGTCCATACTCTGTGAAATAGATCAATTGAAAAACTTGCCCAATGAAACTCATTTCACAATCCCCAATTTTTTTTATTATTAGTATAAGAATACCAAATTCTTGCCACTTTTAGAATATGTCAGATTCTAACACTTTATGCAATGATTCTTTCGTAATGTCATAGCACAAAAGTCACCAAGACCCGGCTAATGAAATTACTAAGTTCTCTATCAGAAATTGTTACAAAACAATTTTATAGATGTGATGTCTCTCACTCAAAGTACATTCCTTTGAACATCCTTTTGCATAAAAGTTTCTAATCTACATAGAGTCTTAATATCCAACTCCCATTAATGGAAACATTTCCATATTTTCTATATGACAACTTATTCTTAATAGAATCTTATCTATTCATAATAATGTCAATATAGTCCATCCAGTACTATACTTCCAACTACTCACAAGCGACAAATCCTCAGTGAACCTCAGACCGTCCTTTGATAGTTGTTTAATTATTTTAGTCAAAACCAATTCTAGTCCTTTTTCCCTCTTAATGCCCTAGGCATTTGGAAAATTTAGAATGGTCAAATATTATAACATATGCAATCGGTCCCATACCCGAAGCGTATTAGACACGATGCATAATGTCTCATATAAAGACGTGATACTTTATCAGCCTTCTGCCATAATATTTTATGTGCCATGTTCCCGCAATTCGAACTATGAAGAGGGATGCCGTAATCATAATCGAATTTTGAGAATGCACTATGTATCCTTGACTAAATTTATTAACATTTCTCGATCTAAGCTTTAGAATTTTGAAACGAAGTATAATATTCTCTCCCTTAATTATAGCAAAACAACTTTTCAACCCTTGCAACTTTGCAAAGTGAATCTTTGTTTTCTATAATTAATATTGCTAACTTGCAATACTTACCATAATAATCATGCTCCCACTAACATGATGATTATTTTCTTACCAGCATAACACTTATGCTCCCACTAGCTTTGACATGTATTCAGAAAACAATTGGACTTCTAGAAAACAATGCTTATTGAATTCCTTAAGTTCATATTTCTAATACCTAATGCTTTGATAAGCCTTTATCTAAGCTTTTTAAGCTCATACACCTTTGCCTTAGATAGCTCACATGTGTGTCTAAACAATTCAGAATTTATGTTACTAAGTCCCAAATGTTCAGATCAATTGCCAAATCTCACAATTCGAACTATGAAAAGGGATGCCGTAATCATAATCGAATTTGAGAATACAATTTTCACAATTGCTATCTTCTTAAAATCTCTCTTAGTGAAAGCATTTCCTCACAATCATTTTCATGAAGGAGGAAAACCTTATGACACTTAGATTTTATGATGTATGTGTTCCTATCCATGTGAATTTGTCAAAACGAAAGTTTGCGACAAATCCAAAACATTATGGACTGAACTTGTTCAATCTTGATTTCTTGCCTCATGGTAACATGAATGCCCACCATGTCTTCCAAGCAACTCACCCTTTCATATCAATGTACTTTCCATTGATCGAGGTGCTTTGTCTTTATGCATTCAAATGAGAACTCATAGAACTCACACGCATAATTAACTCAATTGGAATGGCACAGAAAAAGAGTATGTCATCCACGATAGGCTTTAAACCTCAAGTCGTGTGCTAGTGATGATCAACTAGGTTTACTCTTGATTTGTTCTTGAAACTTTTCAAGACCATTAAGACTCCCACTGACTCCTTGACATATAAGATTCTCTTGTCAAGAACCATTTCTTGACAAACAAATATTCAAGAGTTAGTGTAGCCTTTTGTCAAGTTCAACACTTCACACAATTGGTCCTGGTTGGTCTTTGTCTTATCCAAGACATCACAACTTACCAATTTCAAATGTGCAAGAATAAGAAAACTTTTCCAAATTCCACATTTGTCGAGTGTTATAAACCTACTTAAGACTTGTCACTCATGTCAGAATCTTGACTCTAACGACTTGATATTGGAACGAAGTATGATTGACTTCTTGATTTAACCATTTCTACAATTCTTGATTCCTCTTCTTAGACATGCAATTGCACTAAGACTCACTTAGAGGATCAATTGAGATATGGTTCTTAATCATTAAGACTTATCATAAAACACAATAAAAGGTACTCTCCCTTCTTCTTAGAATAGAGAAACTTTTATCTTTCTGCCTACTTGATTCTTCTTATTCGTTCTGCTATTGATTTAAACTCTTTCAATCAACTCAGAATTATACTTAATCTTATAAGTATAATCATATTTACTAACCTTTAGTAAATCATGACGAATATCTTTATCACTCTTGTGGTGGACTTGATCAACGCACAACCTAGTGTACTCGATCTCCTGGTCCTTCTCTTGACACTTTGCCAAAGAATTAGTCTAATTTCCAAAATATGAAGTTTCTCATTCATCACGCAACCAAGTTGTATGATTCCAAGTTTCTGTCCAATTGAAACTTGGGTGATGAGAATCTTCCTTTATTTGGCAAATCCTCGACATTTCACAAATAACATAATCAAGAATCACATCCAATTCAAGATTGCTAAAATTAGAAATACATAAACATCCATTTTCACATATGCCATTGCAAGGATAAATAAATAGGACGAAATCAAAATTCATTCTATTGCGGAAAAACTTGTCCTTACAATGCAATTCAAATGAAAACTATGCTATTTCAATTTCTAAGCAATCTATTCTAACTCTAAAGTAGTAGCTCAAAAATCCGATCTTCAAGCAATGCGATCGAAATCCATTTCTTCACGATCAGATTCAGCTTACTTCTTCCCTTAAGCTTCCTCTCTTTTCTTCGATCCTACAAAACATCAAAATGTAATCTTA